CCGACCTACCAAACTTCATGAGGATCGGCCGAATATATCCTATAGCTGCCATATAACTGAGCGATTGGAAATGCCATAAATTTGGTACTCGTAGAGTAAAAGGGTATATTGTATTCGTGCAAAAGTATGTAACAGGTAAAAGGAAGTGTTTTCGACCCTATAAAGTATATATATTCTTGTTCAGGATCACTAGCCGAGTCGATCTAGCCATGTCCGTCTGTCCGTCTGTCTGTCCGTCTGTCTGTCTGTCTGTCTGTCTGTCCGTATGAACGCTGAGATCTCGGAAACTATAAAAGCTAGAAGATTGGCATTTTGCATGTAGATTTTAGAAGTTCCTACGCAGCGCAAGTTTGTTTCAAAATGGTGCCACGCCCCCTTTAACGCCCACAATCGCTTATATACGATTTTAAAAATTTAAATATTTCGGAAAAGTAAAAATGCAGTTTTATTGTGTTTATCAATACCTATCGAAATGTAGAAGAAATTTTTCAAATCGGACCATTCGTTAAAAAGTTATGCGTGATCAAAGTTTCTATCTCCATCTCCCTCGCACTCCCTTTACCTGAGTAACGGGTATCTGATAGTCGGGGCATTCGACTATAGCGGTCTCTCTTGTTAAAGTTAGGAAGTTGGAATTTTTTATCAGTATTAAGAATACATCATATGAATAATTTTGGAGAATATAATTTAGAGAGTATTCTGCAAGGGTATATCAATTTCGGCTTCGCCTGAAGCTAGCTTTCCTTTCTTGTTTTATTTAACATTTTTTTTTCAAAAGAGTAGAAGTTTAATTTTGTTTGGTTTTTGTTTTGAATTATTTTAAACAATTTTCTGCCTATTTGTTCGTATAGCTTTACAGGCTACAATTTATTATTATTTTTTAAGATAATACTGTAAAATCCGCACTTTAGACCTTTTTTTGCATCAGCTGGGCGTCTCACAGTGGTTCCAATAGCGCTGCTAGCGGAATTTTATTAATAACTCGAGTAAATGAATAGATATTTCAATGAAACTTTGTACCTACAGCTTTTAGCCTATTATACGTAAATCCTCTAAATTGCATCGTGATATGTTAGTTATTTCCCACAGCCCCCATACAAATGTTAAAAAAACTCGTATACATACTGTGTAAATAAGTTATTATACCCTTGCAGAGGGTATTATAATTTTGGTCAGAAGTTTGTAACGCAGTGAAGGAGACGTTTCCGACCCTATAAAGTATATATATTCTTGATCAGGATCAATAGGCAAGTCGATATAGCCATGTCCGTCTGTCCGTCTGTTTCAATACCGTTTGCGTGCTCAGTTTAAAAGCTAGCGATCTGAAACTTTCACACTCGTCCTAAAACATGTGTACGCAGATCAAGTTTGAAAATCGCCCCGATCGGACGTCTATATCCTATAGCTCCCATAGGAACAATCGGATATAACTTTCAAGAATGGAAGATATTTCGCGCAGTGTAAAAGCTATTAACATAAATCTTTCCAAATCTTATTTTTTTATGCATACCTTGATCAGGGTAAAAGCGCTTGGCGATCGGAAGTCTATATCCTACAGCTCCCATAGGAACAACAGGGTGAAATCGGTCCAAATTTGATGATTTTTCTGAATTTTTCGCGTAGTGTGTAAGCTAATGACATACATTTTTCCAAGTCTTATTTATTTACGCATATCTGGATTAGGGTAAAAGCGCTTGCCGATCGGGCGTTTATTTCTTATAGCTTCCGTAGGAAAAATAGTTAAAGGCTGCGAAAGTATCCCTTTTTTTCTATTTTTATATGACATTTTTGCAGTATAAAAGCAATTGACATTAAACGATGCAAATCTAGTTTATTTATGTATACCTTATTCCTTTCGCTACTTTTTCAGTTTTAGCAATTTCGGCAAAGTCTGCAAGGGTATTAAAACTTCGGCTTGCCGAAGTTAGCTTCCGTCCTCGTTTTTTTTTTAAATTGGTTAGTTTCACTTATATTATTTTTTAGTTTTAATATATATAATGTGACATTTAATCTGAATCAGAACAATCAGAATCATTATTAATTTTTGGAAAATTGATTAGCAGTCCAGCAACGACGTTATCAAAATGAATAGACTTCGCCGACTTTGTAGACGTTTTATATAATGATGTAATTAGTGGATCAAAAGATACCAGCAAGGCGTGGACTACATCTTCCATTGTATTACATCTATTATTTTTTCGAGAATGATTCTCCCGTATATTCCGGCAATCCTTATTTCTGGCTTCAAGAGCTTCTTCAGACATCATACCAATAGGAAGACCCACATGATGTATGATGTCTGCACCATGTATTAATATCTTATGGACAGAAGATGGCATGTAATACCATGGAAATAAGTTGACAAATATTTCAGCTGATTTCATGGCATATGAACTGAATATTGATTTCATATTCACAAGTTAAGGCACCTAAAATGACACTAAAATTGTAAATAAGTGCCTCGCTAACTCCTGTAATGCGAGCTACTAATTCAGGTTGGCTGAAAAAACTTCTAGAAGTATTGCTATTGTTGGTGTTGCCACTACCAGCCATTGGTATGTCCACTAATATGCCAATTTCCTTCCTAAGCTCGACCTGTTTTTTGGAGTTTCTAGCTTCCACGAGCTTGGCATTTTTTGATTGAAAGTCTGTAGGATATATGTAAAACACATTCAAAGAATCGTATCCACGCATGAAGACTAGATAAGCCGTATTTCAAAAGATCTAAGTCAACCGGGTAACGTTTTACCAAATCCAAATTGTTCATATCATTTGGTACTGCTCCACAAATACCATATATCTGTGAGGATGCTTCTGCTAGAACGCCAAATGTTTTACCATTCAGGAACTTCAATGAAAATCATGGAGTGTGATAAATGAGCTGGTAATCGTTGGCTTGATGGACAATAAATGTGGCTCTTCACGTTGTCAGTTTCCAAACGTATTAACTCACTTGATTCTTTCTGACAAGTCAGTTTTATAGGCCGACAATAGCGGGTTGATGAAGATTGCGTGTTTTTCCATTAAACTGTATAACCAAGTTGAATTTTAAGGGTACGAAACAAACAGTAAATAACTGCTGGTCGACACTATTTGTCTCCCCATCTTGAAACTCTTCGCGTGGCCACTGCTTCCATCGCAGCCCCATTTATGTATTGCAGTTCTCTTGATATTGTCCCCAAAAACATGACTTTCAAAGACCTGCGAGTGCGCATTTAAAATGCGGCTTACAGTATTCTGTGGAAGTATTTCAGCAGAATACTCGGTTATTTGTAATCCGTCTTATGATACTTTGAGTATATTGTATCTGCGTTTTTCTCCTTGGCACTTACCCACGTTAGCTGATTTGTATGTTTTGTGTGGCCAACATTTACATAAAGTGCAAGTGCTTCTTCAGGTGAGAAGGGATTTTGTAATTTTACTGGTGTGTCCAACGACCGTTTTATTTTTTGCCCAGCAGACACGTCTGTATTTATTGTAGAAAAAATTTTCGAAGCGGTTCGCATTCCAGATTTATACAGGCTTGAGCTAGTAGCTTGTAAGTGTGTTTGTTATATGTAACATTTCTAATGTTGTTCTTGTTCCAAAATAGTCTTTGCTTCAAAATTGCGGTCACTCGCTGTTTTTTGTATATTAGCTTGGTGTCTTTATTTGAAGTCTGATCTGTGTTGGGATATTCGATATTTTAGTTTGGATTTAGTTGTTCCTACATATGTACAGTCACATTTTTCATTTGTATCTCCATTGCATGGTATTTTATATACAACATTGTGTTTGTCAAACATTTGTATTTTGGACTTGGTCTTGTTGAATATTGGTCGCAGGGTATTGTTGGGCTTATATGCTTTTGTTATTTTTTGTTTATTGTAAAATTCTGACTTTTTAAGGCGTTCTGATAGTCTTGGTATATATGTTACGGAAATGTATTGTGCAGGTTCTCTACATTTTGTTTTTTGTTCCATGTTTTGGTGTCTTTTAATTAATGTTCTAATTAGATGGTTTGGGAAGTCGTTGACTTTTAAAATTTGTCTTATTTCATTTTTGGTTTCTTCATGAAAAATTTTGTCCGAAATGGCTAGCATCCGTTGTATACAACCTACTGCTGTTCTGATAATCATTGTTTTAGGGTGTTTTGAGTTAAAGTTGAAGATTTGTCCTGATGCTGTTGGTTTTTTATACCACTTTAGTTTTAGAATTTTCCCTTGTCTATGAACCATTGAGTCCAAATATGCTAGTCCTCCATCTTCTTCCTGTTCCAGTGTGAATTTTATATTTTTATTGAAAGAGTTTAAAGCGTCAAGTGTGTTTTGTATTTCGTCTTCTTTTACTATTGCGAATAAATCATCCACATACTTCGTCAAAAGTCTTGGTTTATGTCCTAGTTTTTTCAAAGTATTGTCTAATAGCTCTTCCATTACTATGTCTGAAATTGTTGGTGAAGCAGGGGATCCCATCGGCATTCCTTTTAGTTGTGTGTATATATCGTCCTTAAATTAAAAAAATATATGTTATCTTGTATACCAAATTATACTATATCCATTATATTCTTATATTTTCCTATTCATTTTCTTAGCAGCCCATCCGTCCGCAAACTAGTTCTATATCTAGATAAAAATTTTCAAGTCTTTTTTTGACAAGTAATAATAATAAGAAGTCTGAACGGGCCGGATCGGTTTCGGCCCGTTCCGAAAGAAACTAAGAACGATCAAAAAAATATATTAACTCAAATTTTAACTTCTTTGTTTCCAAACTTATACGGATATATATTTTTTTGTTTTTACAATTTCATAATTTTAATTTTATATAGATCTGACTATTTTTAGCTGCCATACGAATGAAACAAAAAAATGTATCGAAAAATCGACATGTCTTCATTGTTCTTAAGCAAATAGGCATACAAAAAAAATAATAATTCGACTTTTAGAAGCTATATAACCAATTAAGTCTGTTAAATCGCCCTTGTGAAAATATATTATTATCCCTTAAATTTTTATGTGCAGAGCCATCGGTACTACGATAGATATGAAAGGCCGCCAATACCCGTGGTGGTAATGGTGTTTTATGAGGCTTTGTGTCCGGACTCGAAGTATTTCCTTACCAGGCAGCTACTTCCAACTTTCAAGGTCGCTTCATCAATAATGGAAGTAAAACTTGCGCCATATGGCAAGGCAAGGACAAGCGAACTTGATAACAAAGTTATTTTTGACTGTCAGCACGGACCTGCGGAGTGCCAAGCAAATATTTACCACGCATGTGCTGCAAAGATAATAGAAGACCCGCTCCTGCGACTACAAGTTGCAACATGTATGATTAGAGACAATCGTTTACCTCAAGATGCTATGCATAAGGTAGGTAGCCATGTTTCACTTAATTCAAGAATATCTTTAATTGAATGCTTGAACCCAGAACTCTGTGTACACTAAAGCTAAGAAATCATAATGTTTCTCGCTTAAAGCTTTTTATAGGGCCAAGTAAAAAATTATAAGATTTTGCTGCGCTGAAAAACTTGTTTTTTTTTATTGTTCTTAAGAATTTCAATTACAGATCTTTATAATCCATTTGGGACCCTGAAGACACGATAAATTTGTCGTAAATCAGCTGACATTTGGTCTAGCCGAGAATTCGGTTGTTCTAAATAATTCGGGGCTTTGTATTGATTAATTCTTTAAACCTCTGCACAATTAAAGCTAGTAAAACTTTTAGTTTGAAGAATATTAGTCAAAAAACTCCCCACAAACTCGGATGCAGGACATCGGTCCGTAGCAACAGCTTTGGAGGCGAGTGCGCAGAAGAAAGAGACCGGTCAAACTTTAAAAAAAAAGGAACTTATACCCTTGCTGGTTTTAACTAGCTCGAAAAGGACAAGAATCCAAGCAAGTGTGTGTAGAAAAGAAAAGAAAATTGACGGACTTGTGTGTTATGTCGGCAAGATTGAGGTTACAACATTTCGGTCTAATGCTTGAAGTGGCCTTTCCCGATTTTAGATTTACCTAGCGGTACACAGTGTCGGTTTTTTGCAATGAAGGCGGCTAGGCGATAAAAGATGACATTCGGTTCAACCTGCTAGATGCAACATTTTGCAAGACCTCAAGTGAGCCGGTCGTCGTCCTTGGCGTTGCAGCAGACGACGAGAAGAGCAAAAAAAACATTTGTAGGAGCGCAACTAATAGACAAAAAGTCGAAATTCTTACTATTCTCAAATTATACTTCCGATTTAAATGTGGTAGAACGAATTTGTAAACTACTTTGAGCTAGTCGCACGTTTACTAAGCGAGCAAATCCAAGAATCTATTTCGCTAACATCCTATTTTGATAAAGAATTTATGGATGGCTTTAGCACCTTTGCACAATAGCAATGGCAATGAAAACGTCCCGCACTGGACGAACTTATGTGGACGTGTTTATAAGTTTATATTTACAAGTGGTACATGCCGAAAATAATAAATAAATTTAAAAATGCAGGTATTTTATTTTGTATACTTCATTAGTCCCAACTGTACAAGTCTATGATTCAGATAGTCGAAATATGACAAAATCATGTTAGTTAATTTTCAATAAAAGGTAAAACTTTGAGTTGTTCTAAATATAACACATTAAACAGACATGTAAAAAAAAATACAGTAGAATCCGGTTAAAACGACTCCGCTTATAGTGTCCGTCCGGGTATTGTGACGAAAACTCGATGTCTTGGTTGGTCTCCATACAAACTTATATGATACAAACTTAAATGATACAAACTTATATAATACAAACTTATATGATATAAACTTATATGGTTAGTGCGTCTTCCGGGTATAACGACGTAAAATCGCCGGTCCCTTGAAAGTCGCTATAACCGGGTTCTACTGTAGTTGATAAAAATGTTAGGCCCGACGAAAGTGGATATTCAATATGCGCGAGCTGCTTAGACGTTATAATCCATATAATACATTTTATTTGTTACAATTAAATTAACAGAGCATTCAGAATATATCAAAAAATACAGTTCGTTATATTGCGAACATAAAACGCGAAATGGGTCATGTACTTCAAAATTCGTCTTACAAATATCAAGGGCAATAGGTCGAAAGTAACGAGTAGACCTTACAGGGATGGAGAACCGTATTTGACCCAGTAGGTAGCTTGAATTTACAAGACCAGTTATTAATTTATGAAGGAACATGAGACCGTGACAGGATCCTTGAGGGAGGGCAGGTTCAGTAGACGCAGTCTATCCACATAAAATGGTAGGTGAAACCACGTAAAGCAAACAAAAGGAACTGTTTCTGTACCGATTCGATAAGGTCTTGATGATTGGTATATTAAGGAGACCAAACACACGAGCATTATTCCAGAATTGGACGAACCAAGGAAATATATAAGTGTTCCGTGGTATAGGGATCCTCAAATTCCTTAGACCAACGTTTAACAAAGGCTAAAACCCCTTTAGCTTTACTAACAATAGTGCCAATGTGATCAGAGAAGTTTAAGTTGTGGTTGAATAACACTCCAAGGTCTGTTACGGAATTTATGCGTTCAAGATCATTCGACCCAATAGAATATGACGTGAGGAAAAGCCTATTCCGATAAAAGGACATCAATTTACATATCGAGTTATTTAAAAACAGCAAATTCTGGATGCACCAAGAATGAAGGTTGTTCAGATCGGCTTGCAAGAGATCATGGGAATTGGGGTTCGATAATGGCAAACAAAGTTTTACGTCGTCAGCATACATCATAACATAAGAAGAGAGAACTACTTGAGCACGTCATTTATGAAAATTCCAAACAGTAGGGGTCCTAGAAGGCTCCCTTGCGGAACACCAGAATTCACGCGAACAGAGTTTGAGATTGTGCTTTTAAAAGCTACTCTCTGAGTCCGGTTCGAAAGGTATGTTGAAATCCACTTAGTCAACATGATCGGGAATCCTAGTAATGTTAGTTTTTTTTAATAATAACTGATGGTTCACGGAATCAAAAGCCTTACTGAAGTCCGTAAAAATAACATCAGTTTGATCGTTATTTTTAAAAGCGCTTCTGATGACTGAGGTAAATTCCAGAAGAATTGTAGTCGTTGACCTACGTTTCATAAAACCATGTTGAGTTGGGGACATCTTGATTGTTTTCAGATTTAATTAAGGGCGTGAAAAAACAGTTGGAGTGAGGAAGTGGGTAGGGGTAGGATGATGTGTTATCGTAACTGAAAGACGAGTAATAAGATGATCGTTATAACAGAGGGTTGAATGAATACTCTGTATTTGAGCCAAATGCTGAAGGTAGAGGCTAATATCTGAACGAGGGGAAATATACGAGCATGATATGAAGCTTTATCCGAACTGCGACAAACTCTAATTCTCGGGCTCTAATTCTCTAATACTCCGTAACAATTATCGGAATACGTTGAGAGACAAGAATGGACTTGACGGCAATAAGAACACCACCGCCAAGACGCATTGAACGGTCACATCTATAAATAACATAACCACCAGCAACATAAACACCCAATAACAAACTGTGTTTTCTATGTTATAGAAAACATTTCTAAAATTTAGAAAATATATCTTTATTTTTTAGGGTGATCCTAAATTGTGGGCAAGGCAAAACATTTTTAGAAAAGAAGTTTCTATATTATAGCAAATATTTTTAATTTTTAGGGTCAGTTCTTAAGGAATTAGTTTCTAAAAACAAGTATTATTTTAACTTTAATAAATAAATTCGTTCCTGTTTTTAGGGCTTATATTAGTTTATGGCGACCATTTCTACATTAGAATTTTGTTTGTTAAATTAAAAATTTCTTGAAATTATATATTTTTTCGAGGAAAAAAGCTTTTTGAAGAATTTCTAAAATGCATAGTTAATTTCAGTATGAGTGTGTACTAGCATACAAATTAAATTTCCAAATGTAAATTTGATAAACTTGGTTATTTTTGATTAATTGTGCTGTTATCAATAAAACTTATTTTACAATGTTCCCCATTTTTTTTAATTTTATGCAATTGATATCCTATTTCAAACATTTTGTTTACGTCTGAAAAGTATCTTAACGAAGCCAAAACTCCTTCGCGATGTCGATAATGTCCTCAGGCGTGCTGAATTTTTGTTTTTTTAGTCGGAACAGTCCAGATTGGACGACTATCTCGAATAGATCCTATGGAAAAATGGAAAAAAACGGAAAAAAATTATTGCTTCGTTGTGAATATTTTACAATTTCACGACTTAAATTTGATTAAAATCGGACGACTAAATTATTAAAAAAAATCAACAAAGCTTCCATGTTTTTAAGTGGTTTATAGTGGTTTCATTTTTGTAAAGTTTGCTTCTTATATCTGCCGATGCGGATTTAAGCGCCATAAAATATTCGGCCGCCATAAAACTCTGGCAACCCATATTTTACTATGTAAAATAAATAGGTAATAGCCCAATAATATTTATTTAATTGTATTTACATCGCTGTTTCTTTTCTGCACAAATTAGTGGACAATATATTTGCGATTGCAGCGCATTAAAAAAGGTTTTTTTTATCTATTTAATATTTAATTTTTAGAAAAATAACACACATTTTTCATATATTGTGGTCCGTATATTCTTATTAACGTATTTTTATACCCTTGCAGAGGGTATTATAATTTTGGTCAAAAGTGTGCAACGCATTGAAGGAGACATCTCCGGCCCTATAAAGTATATATATTCTTGATCAGTATCACCTCCTGAGTTGATATAGCCATGTCCGTCTGTCCGTCTGTCTGTTTCTACGCGAACTAGTCTCTCAGTTTTAAAGATTTCGAATTGAAACTTTGCACACACCCTTCTTTCCTTTGCACGCAGTATATAAGTCGGAACGGCCGGGATCGGCCGACTATATCCTATAGCTGCCATATAACTGATTGATCGGAAATGCCATAACTTTGGTGTTTGTAAAGTTAGGAAGTTGGGATTTTCTATGGGTTTTATATTTGGCCCATCAATCCGACCTACCAAACTTCATTAGGATCGGCCGACTATATCCTATAGCTGCCATATAACTGATTGATCGGAAATGCCATAACTTTGGTGTTTGTAAAGTTAGAAAGTTGGGATTTTCTATGGGTTTAAAATTTGGCAAATCAATACGACCTACCAAATTTCATAAGGATCGGCCAACTATATCCTATAGCCGCCATATAACTGATTGATCGGAAATGCCATAACTTTGGTGTTTGTTAAGTTAGGAAATTGGGATTTTTTATGAGTATTAAGAATGCATCATATGAATAATTTTGGAGAATATAATTTACAGAGTTTTCTGCAAGGGTATATCAACTTCGGCTCCGCCCGAAGTTAGCTTTCCTTTCTTGTTTGTTGTGTAAAACAGTGCAAAATACACATTTTAGGAGGAAATGAAAAAAATTTAGGCTGGAAAGGGTTGAAAGTCCGAGGGTGCCAAATAGTCTTTCGAATGCCTGACGTCGTTCGTGTTTGTGGTCGAGAGTCAATATGCGCGGCACCCAGCTGCAGAATAAATTTTTTATGAAAAATAATGTTTTCTGAGATAACGAAAATCGTTTTTTGCATACTCAACATTACACCAAAAAATAAAAAAATATTTTTATTTTAGTTTTAACTCATTTACTATTTAAATTTTTCCTATAATGAGCTGTATAAATCCCCCCATTGTAAATCTTCCAGATTCATTGGAACTGATGGGTATATTGAATGTAGTTGATTAGTCAACAATGATATCAACACAAACAAACAACAGCCGGAGAGTGCAGACGTGTTTTGCGCGAGCTCAGGAAAAAAACCGCTCAAAAATGAAAAACAATAACTAAAAATACTAGAGTGGTGTAATAAAGGCAATCTTATTGCTAAAAACAGTAAATAATAATTAGTGCTATGTAAAATACTAGTGCAAAGTTATTATAAAAACTAAGAAGTGCCACGAGTGATAGCTCAATGAGCGGCGATTCAAAAAATGAGCGTAGAAGCTCCGTAGACCAGAGAAACAGTTATATTTCTTATTTCTCAACCCGCGATACAGAAGTAGAAAGAACTTCTTCAAAGAGCAACTCAGCCCTACTGACCATTGACAGTGCGAGAGCACGGTCTTGTTCTCCCGCCCTACTCACACCAACTCCCACTTCATGGAGCTTGCAGTGTAGAACCCCACCCCCAGCTTCGACTAACAGCTCACCAGCCACGAGTACTGCGACCTCGTTAATTTCTGCAACCGCAGCCACTGCAACAACAACATCAACGGTCGCCGTTAACAACAACGCGATTTCGAATGCGTTTGCAACTTCTGCAGCGCCGAATAAAACTACAAAGCCAAGTGTAAGTACGAGTGCCAATATCGGCAATATCAAACAACAACAAGTGGGTCCGGCTATACAGACTGGCATGGACCGTTACATCCAAATCAAACGGAAGCTAAGCCCGCAAAATAAAATGGTTGGAAATAAACCAAAACAAAATTGCCCTAATAAAGGCAGCGAACAACCAGGGGCATCTAGTAACAACAGATTCGCCCTATTGTCGGAAATTGATAATAATCAATCCGAATCTGGACAGGCTGTTCAAAAGAAACCAAAGCCCCCACCAATTTACATAAGGGAACAGAACTCAAATACCCTAGTAAAAAAAATTGTTGCGCTGGTCGGGAATGACAACTTTTATGTTACTCTTACTCCCCTTGTTAAAGGGAATATTCATGAAACAAAGCTTCAAGCTAAAACAGAAGATCAATTCAGAGCTGTAACAAATTACCTAGACGAGGCTAGGAAACCCTACTACACGTACCAGCTCAAGAGTAGCAAGGGCTTGCAAGTAGTGCTAAAGGGCATAGAGCCCGACGTATCCACCAATGAGGTAAAAGAGGCACTGAAAGAAAAAGGATTCTTCTCCAAAAATATTATTAATATTATCAACAAAAATAAAAAGCAACCACTCTTTAAGGTCGAACTGGAGCCTGAAAGCAGAGCCTTGAAGAAAAATGAAGTGCACCCGATCTATAAACTGCAATACCTGTTGCACAGAAGGATTACTGTTGAAGAACCGCATAAGCGGAATGGCCCGCTGCAATGCACAAACTGCCAAGAGTATGGACACACCAGAAACAACTGCGGGCTTCGTTCAGTCTGCGTAGCTTGTGGTGGCTTCCACAAATCCGAACCTTGCCCTGCAAGCAAAGAAGACCCAAAGACAAAGAAATGCGCTAACTGTGGAGATAACCATACCGCAAACTACAGAGGCTGCCCGGTCTATAAAGAGTCAGTTTCAACAAGCAAAACAAGCACGCTCCCAGAATGCACGAAATGCGTACGTGCAATCCCAAACCACACCTAATGTTTTCTTTGCGAAAGCAGCCAGATCTTCATTTGGGCCCTTCAACACAAATGGGGGAGTTTCATACGCCAGTGCCCTAAAATCAGGACTTGCCAATCAGACGGGGTTCCCACAAGCTCAATGCTCTGAGCAAAATATAATAACACCTCAGCAAGCAATAGGACAAATACCAAACAGCATGGAAACCATGATGCTGACTTTACAACAGGGTATGATGGAATTTATGTCCTTCATGAAAACAACAATGACAAACCTTATGCAAAATCAAAACATTTTAATAAATTTGCTCACATCCCAACAATCTAAATAATCGATGTCTTGTCTTCGAATATCCATGTGGAATGCCAATGGCGTTTCACGGCACAAACTTGAAATAACTCAATTCCTCAATGAAAACCAAATAGATGTAATGCTGCTGGCAGAAACGCATCTCACAAGTAAATACAACTTCCAAATAAGAAGTTATACTTCATACTGCACAGATCATCCGGACGGTAAGGCTCACGGAGGAACTGGAATCCTAATCAGGGAACGCATTAAGCACCACTTTCACCAGAGGTTTGCAACAAATTATTTGCAGGCTACATCTATAAAACTACAAGCAGGCAACGGCAGTATCACTATAGCCGCTGTCTATTGCCCACCGCGTTTTACAATAACTGAAGAGCAATTCTTGGACTTCTACAATTCACTCGGAGATCGCTTTATAGCAGGAGGAGACTACAACGCCAAGCACACGCACTGGGGATCAAGACTAGTGACGCCCAAAGGAAGACAACTGTATAAAGCAATCATAAATTTGAGCAACAAACTCGACTATGTCTCCCCTGGCAGCCCCACATATTGGCCAGCTGACCCCAGAAAACTCCCGGACTTAATTGACTTCGCTGTGAACAAGAATATCCCAAGAAATTTAGTCAGCGCCAAATCGCTATCGGACTTATCATCGGACCACTCGCCTGTTTTAATAACTCTCCTTCAAAGCCCGAAAGTAATCGAGCACCCCTTCAGGCTGACCTCGACTAGAACTAACTGGCTAAAGTACAAAAAGTACGTAAGTTCCCACATTGAACTAACACCACAGTTAAACATAGAGAACGACATCGACTTCTGTGCTGATGCCCTGGAGTCAGTACTCGTGGCAGCAGCCAAAATCTCAACACCAGAAGAGACAATCGTGCGTAGCAACCAATACAAAACTAATCTGCAAATCGAACAACTGGTTCGGGAAAAACGACGTCTACGACGAGTTTGGCAATCCTGCAGATCGCCCCATTCGAAGCAACTCTATAATGATGCCACCCGCAGACTCACCAAAACCCTCAAGCAAGAAGAGGAGCTTGCGCAGCGCCGGTACATCGAGAAACTGTCGCCGACCAATACAAAGCATCCTTTGTGGAGAGCTCACCCAAATTTAAGCTCTCCGATAGAATCAGTCACTCCGATTAGAAACTCCTCGGGTACTTGGGCCCGCAGTGACGAAGACAGAGCCGAAACATTTGCTTTACACCTACGAAATGTATTTCAGCCGAACGCCGCCACAAACTCTCTTCAACTACCGCCGTTTAGCTCTGAAATTGCAATTAACCCGATTTTGTTTCAAACACCTGAAATTGCTAACGTCATTAGGAAGCAAATAAAACCGAAAAAAGGCTCCAGAGGCCGACCTAATAACCCCAAAAATGATAATTGAACTTCCAAACTGCGCAGTGGATGTTATATGCAAGCTATTTAACGGGATCGCAAAACTTGGCTACTACCCCAAAAAATGGAAAAAGTCCGTGGTTATAATGATACCGAAGCCTGGCAAAGACCACACAATTCCCTCATCGTACAGGCCAATAAGCTTACTATCGTGCCTGTCCAAATTACTGGAAAAATGCCTGCTCACGCGCATTACACCATATTTAAGAGAACAAAACTTAATCCCGGCACATCAATTCGGGTTTCGTGAAAGCCACGGAACCATCGAGCAAGTCAACCGGATAACTTCAGAAATTCGTACAGCCTTCGAACATCGGGAATATTGTAGTGCGATATTCCTCGACGTCTCTCAGGCATTCGACCGAGTGTGGCTTGAAGGTCTTATGCATAAAATCATAACATTACTGCCAGAAAACACTCATAAGTTACTTAAGTCGTACCTCTACCACAGAGTCTTTGAGGTTAGATGCAATTCAACGACATCCAACGAGTATAACATTGAAGCCGGAGTCCCACAAGGTAGCGCCCTGGGCCCTACCCTGTTTATTCTATACACAGCAGACATCCCTACGAACGAGAGGCTGACTACGTCCACATTTGCTGACGACACCGCAATCCTGAGCCGCTCGAGATGCCCAACTAGAGCAACAGCTCAACTGGCTGATCATTTGGTGGTAGTTGAAAAGTGGCTATCAGACTGGCGAATCAAAATTAATGAACAAAAGAGTAAACATATAACGTTTACCCTTAACAGACAATCGTGCCCGCCGCTACCTTTGAATGGTACGCAGATTCCCCAAGCCAGCGATGTAACATATCTCGGCGTCCACCTCGACAGACGCCTAACCTGGCGGAGGCACATTGAATGCAAGAAAGTACATCTCAGACTTAAAGCTAGCAGCCTACACTGGATTATAAATTCTCGATCACCCTGTGTCTGGACTTTAAAGTTCTCTCTACAACTCCACCCTCCAGCCCATTTGACTGCTCCCGCTGGGGGAACGCGTTTAACAGTTCTTGCATCTACAGCACTCACAATCAAAAATCCTCCAGGCACCATGGTATGTTCGGAACGAAAACATCCAAGGGATCTGGGTACCACCTTCAAAGAGAAACAGAAATCGGTCTAGCATCGCAACGTTACACTGCCCAAATAACTCGCAAGGAACTAAGACGGTTTACGACTCGTCTTCTAACGATCTACCAGCCCAGCAATAAATATTAGGGCCCGTTAGTCTAAATTCAGTCTACATGACTGTAAGTTAAGTTATATTCTTAAGATTTGATATACTTATTGTTAGTCTCATATAGAGAAGATTCAATAAATAAAGCATATATTTACAAAAAAAAAAAAAAAAAAAAAAACAATGATATTTTCTTCGAGGGTATTTTCATCGTTGGGAAACTTAATTTCTTATTATATTTCATATTCGGATATTAAAAAATTATTATATTGTTTAGCAGTGATATATTCCAATATCTTATGATCTACATTAGTGTAGAAATATTATTAATTTTCTAATATAGCAGTGATGTATTCCAATATATTATTGTCTACATTAGTGTAGGATATATTATTAATTTGCGAAGTGCCATTAAAAGTTGTTAAGTACGACCCATTTAAACGAGTGTATTAACTGTATTATGTCCATTTACAAAAACTGGCTCCTTTTTTTTTAAATTTTATTACATAAAGA